AGGCGTGAGCCACTGCACCCGGCCATGCTCGATTCTTAAAAGTCATAAAAACAATCAAATAGGATCCTGGGGGAAGAAGAAAAACAAACCTTGAGATAAAAAGGCACAAATATGAAAAAGTCATAAATGTAGATTAAGTGAAAGTCAATCTGAAAAAGCTCCATACTCTACAATTCCCATTCTATAAGCTTTCTGGGAAAGAAAAACTAGAGGGACAGTACAAACATTGGTGGTTGCTGAGGGATCTGGAAAAGGGGGAGAGAAGTTAATAGCTGAAACTCAGGTAATGTTCAGGGCGTAAAACTATCTTGTAATGGTAATGAATGGCATTATTAGTTTGTCAAAACCTTTAGACTACCAAAACCCAGACTGAACCACTTAATGCAAACTCTGGCCTTTAGTTACTAACAATGTATCAGTAATGGTTCACTCATTGTAACACATGGACCACACCCATGTAAAAGGTGGTTAAGAAAAGAAACGGGGAGGAGGGTCTGAGAACCTTCTGTACTCTGTTCAATTTCTACGTTCATATAAAACTGTCCTACATAAACTCTTTAGTTTTAAAACTCTGGCAACACTTTCAGGAAGAGATCCATCTCAGCTAATGTTTAATGTGAGCTAAATATTCAGACTTTCAATTGAGATGTTTTCTGTTTAAAGTGAATGAAACTTGTAGTTGTAAATATGCCATTACTTCTATAGTTGTAGTAGTGGCAACTGACTTAAAGTTGCACATGTCAAATAAAAGAAATACAACACAACATTTTTAAAGTTTTGTGTAGGCCTGGTGCGGTGGCTCACGCCTGTAGTCCCAGCACTTTGGGAGGCCGAGGCAGGTGGATCACCTGATGTTAGGAGTTTGAGACCACCCTGGCCAACAGGGCGAAACTCCGTCTCTACTAAAAATACAAAAATTAGCCAGGCATGGTTAATTTTTGTCTCCTGGATGACAGGCGGATGCCTGTAGTCCCAGCTACTCAGGAGGCTGAGGCAGGAGAATCGCTTGAACCCAGGAGACAGAAGTTGTAGCAAGCTGAGATGGAGCCACTACACTCCAGCCTGGGCTACAAGAGTGAAACTCCATCTAAATAGTTTTGTATTAAATGCGAAATGCTTAACCAACTGGAATCACTCTGCTTGAATGAACTTAATAAAATAACCGCAGTACCTTTGATTGATATGCACACTCATTATTTGCCTAGTCAGAAGTTTTTGGACGGTCTGCTTCCAGGGAGAAATATCGACTGCACTGATTACTGGTGAGTGTTGTTGGGCCAGAAGTGTCGGATGCTCAGATTGGAGTCAGCAGAGGCTCTGCCAGTTCCTCAGGAATTACTTTTATGTTCGGGATGCAAGATCCTAGGAAATTACAAAAAAGATAGCTGTTGAAATCTTACAGGCAGAAGACCATAGATAAGTTAGTAATACTTTACGCACAGATCAAACCTTTCTTTTTTT